TTTTTTTTTTTTTTAAGATTTTATTTATTTATTTGAAAAAGACAGGGAATGAGCTGTGGAACGAGGGAGAGGGAGAAGCAGACTTCCCACTGAACAGGGAGCCTGATGTGGGGCTCCATCCCAGGATCCCCAAATCATGACCTGAGCCAAAGGCACCTGCTTAACCGACTGAGCCACCCAGACACCCCACCAACTCCATTAGATTCTAGGCTACAGAGCAGCAGAGCAGTGGTTCTCCTATGCCTGGGTGCTACCCATATTATTGAATCTGTTCCTGGAGTAGGCATGAAGCTCCTTTAGGTAATTCAGAGGTAGCTACATCTCTCACAATCCACTGAAGTAAAAGATACATTGTCTTTAATACTGATTTAAAATTTAACTGTAGATATAATATCATGTCTATATGAGATTTGAGATTGCAGTCAGCATATTACCTGGGAGCATCATAAAGAATATAATTGTACAATCAATTCTTGGTTATTTTTGACAATCAAGGAAAGACTAACACCCAAAATCATACCTACAATTGAACCTTGTAACACAGGTAGGTACATGAATTCTGCAATATCAAATCACAGGCCAGATCACATCTTTAAATAATATTTCAGAGTGTGGTAAAATCCTGATATGCTATAATTTTCCTTCAATAAACTGTTTTAGAAAAGTTAATTGTTTGTGTCTCTCAGTTTCTGCTGTGTTCTGGGCCCTAAGTGAAAAGAATACATTAGTAAGCAAAACCATCCAAAGCCCTGGCCCCTTTTAACTTTGGTATGCCTCTTAAAACACATCGACACTTGTCCAGGAAGATATTACTTATAGATAGGTCCTAGTAATCTGTGCAGAAAGGAAGGAAGGAAGAAGGCCTTGGTTTAACCAAATTCTAGTGATAGGCAATAGAGAATTCACTATTGTCTGACAATTAAGCTCGCACTTGGAAATGCATGTTTTTCAGAACCTGGGATGATACTTTGAGAGGTGTTAACATCAATAAAATTGTTTGCAACTAAAATATTTATAACACTGAATCTCAGTCTTTTAAATTGTATTTTTATGTTTAAGTAGTAGATAATAGTGATTTTGGTCATTTATCATTTTAATGGTTTGATCTTTGCTTCTTCCATCTCCTGTAATAATAGCATGTTGGCTCCTGAATGATGGGACAGATTCAAAGCAATGCTTTTTTTTTTAAGCCCAGCTTTCCTAGATACAGCATTAGACTGTTCTATGTTCTTAGGCACTAGAAGTTTTCAAATTTGAGTTAAAAGAGAAGTAGTCACAATAAAAGGGAAGAAGAGAGTCCTCGCTTACACAGTAAATTCTTTTCATAAGTTCTGTTTTAAAGAAAGAAATAAACAGTGTCTTAGCTTTAGTTGGCATTCATTTCACTCAGTTGACCTAATCCTGCTCAGCTCAAATATAAATGCTGAAAATTCCTCCAGGCAGCCATGAGTACTTCATATTAAGGTATATCCTGACTTGGTATATTCCTGATTTTACAAATAAATGTATTTACAGTATGTATAGATACATTATATACATCAACAAGCTGAAGATGCCACATTTTATTTATGTAACAGTTTAGAGATTGACGTAAACTTTCTCATTCTGAACCATCTGTTACTGTTTCTGTGCTTCTATGAAGCATAATAATAGTTAATATATATAAAGTGCTTAGTGCCCAGTATAATATTAGTAACTGTATTACACATGAACTAGATTTCTTTTTAAAGTCAGGTCTTTATTGAGATAAGTGTTTATATACAGTACAGTTTGTCCTATTTTGATGTATAGTTCTAGGTTTTTTGACAACATATATAGGTTATAGAACCAATAGCACAATCACTATTCAGAATATGCCCATCACCCCAAACAGGGACGTCCATCACCCCAAACAGTTTCCTTGTTCCCCTTTGTATTCAGTTTCCTCCCCTCATCCCTAAGCCCTGGGAACCACTGATAGGAATTCTTTTTATTTTGCCTTTTCTAGAATGTTCCGGTACAGATTTTGAGTCTGACTCCTTTCACTCCCTAATGCGGAGTGGTAACTATATTTCAGAAGTTCATACCTTTGTATTGTTAATAACATTCCGTTGTATGGATATACCACAATGTGTTTAACCATTCTCCTCCAGTTTATGGACATTAGGGTATTCAGTATTTGGTGATTCTGACTAAAACTGCCATAAATACTTGGGTAGAATTTTTTTTGTAGACCTATATTTTCATTTCTCTTAGGCATATATCTAGGATTCAGACTGTCAGATCGTCTAAGTATATGCTTAGTTTTACAAAAAAAAAAATGTTTTCCAAATAGGCTGTACCAGTTTGCATTCTCACCAGCAGTGTATGAGATTTATAGTTGCTCTATATCCTCTCCAACACGTGGTATTTGGTCAGGTTTGTTTGTTTTTGTTATCCTAGTGGTATTGTGACTTTAATTTGCATTTTTCTGTTGAGTAAGGATGTTGAGATTTTTTTCTGTGCGTATTTGCCATCTGTATCTCTTTTTGGTGAAGTGTCTATTCAGATCGTTTGACTTTTAAAAACTAGTTTGTTTTTTTATTTTTGAGTTATGAAAGTTCTTTATTAAGCATAGTAGTACATACACTGGTTTTAATGCTCATAATACTCTTTTGAGGAGGGTGGGTACTATTAGCCTAAATCACAGATAAAAAAGTTAGGCTGCAAGATTGTTAAATATAGCCCAGGAACACACAGCTAACAGGTTGTAGAGCTGGGATTTACACCCAAGCAGATTGGCTCTAGAACCTCTGCTGAGCTGCTTGCCAACCTTTTTTTTTTTTTTTTTTATGGAAATTGATTTCTTGGGGCTGTGACTATAACTAGGATCCAATTTCTGTGGGTGGTAAAACAATGCTTATAGGGGCACCCTTGAGCAAAGGGGAACTTTCTTGTAATAGCAACTCTGGAATCATCTCCCTAGGAACAGCTAAGATATTTGTTGCTGTTGAAAGAGGGTGACTATTTTCAATTTATGTCTCTTACTTCACTTCTACATACTGGTGGTCAAAAGTACTTCTCTTAAGTTATTTTCCAAATATCTGCCATTATCAGGTAATTGAGGTACTTTATATAAATGGATTTTCTCAATAGCAGAAGCTTCTCCTTTTATGTATCCATACTTCCTAAAATATTTGACATACTTATTCACTTTGTATTTCAAAGACCTTTATCATAGTAATGCTGACTTCAAGGCATTTACTGTTTGGCAATATATGTAGGGAGCATGTAGAACTTTTTGACCTTATAAGATGGCTCCAGGTCCCAGGACTTTTAAAGTTATATTTATTTGGAGTTTTACAAGTTGTTTTTTTTTTTAGTCTTATCTACTCTCTCATTTGTTCATTCTGACATCATCCTTTCACCATTCCCTCTTTCATTCACGCTTATAACTTCTATTTCTAATTAGCTAAAAGATAATTAAATTATTGGGCTTACATGAATATGGTCTAAAATAAATGTCAGCACTGGGAAACGACTTGGGAATTTTCCAGTGAACATCTCCTGTGACTGCTCAGAGGACCTTCTTGTTTGGGATCCAAGCAGTCATTCTAAATAAATGAGCTCTAAAGTAAGCTAACTGAATATGACGTTTGACAGTAGAAAAAGTGATGTGTTTTTCTTTTTAGCATAATTTTTTATTAATAATTTGTTAAACCATGGGGATTATCTTAGTGAAAAGGTAAATCAAACAGTGTTCAGCAGAATGGAATAAATAGGCACTTAATGGGTAGAAAGTCGGTTCACAATCATTACATTTTGTAGCCGTTTGTAAAGTTCCCCGTCTGAGTCAGTGACAGCTTGTCCTCTCAGCTGTGCCTCTAGTAAGGCAGAGTAATTACTTCCAAGTAATTAATTAAAGGGAGAAAACCTTGCCAAATCCTATTTACTTTTTGTAAAATATTAAGATGAAGGCTAGCTAGTGAGTAGCACTTTATCATGTAAAGCACTTTTGAAAGCGCTTAATGCTTTCAAGCCATTTTGACCAATTTAAGCCCTTACTTAGAATAAATTAATTAATATTCACCCAGGGGACAGGGTTTAAGTAGTTGTACTAACATTTCAGCTGCTTGGGCACCTTGTCGGGTGTATGAGGACTTGGAGAGCAAAACGTCACTGTCCATGTCTTTCGTTGGCAGCCTTAGGATCACCATGTATGGTGCAGCAGGGTGCCTGGCCCATGGTAGGCTTTTATTTGTGGATAATTTTGTTTGAAAGTTAAAGAAAACTGTGGCTGTCACTTCTAAGTAGTAGAATCATGAACCATGATTGCATTGGTAATTTGTTTAAAATAGAGCTTTATCAAGCTTGCAGTTTAAAATCATTTTGCTGTATTATACTTTGGTTTCTTACTTTGGATTTGTTTAAATTTTACAAATCAGATTAATTCATACTTATTTTTCCACTGAACTTTGAATTAGAAAATTAGGAAGTAGATTTTATGTTTAGTGAACTTGTAAATCTCATCTGATACTGTAGTTTGCTAGTTTTTCTAGATTACATTTTCCAGCAATATACCCCTTTCATGTAAGGGTTAATGAGTAGCCTGGTTAGACTCACCAGTCCATTGTTAAATTAAAAGCCAGAAAATTTGCTGTCTCTCTTCCATTCCCTCCCACACTGTTTTTCTTTTCATAGTTTTACTTACTTGATATATTAAGATAATTTTTAAAGTTGAGATTTTATTTTTTTAAAAACAACATGCGGTGTTAATTTTGTTTCCTTGTAGATCCTGATTCCTATTTTTCTGTTGTTAATTTTAAATTATGGTAATTAGCATGAGCTGAATAATGGTTTAATCAAGGTAGATCTTGGTCCTTGGCTCTATGCCCCTCCTTTTTCTATACCTCTCCTCTTTTTTTTTTTTACCTGTAGATTTGCATGTTTGACCCAGCAGGATAATTGGGTCCACAGCAACATGGGCGTGCCTCCCTTAGAAACACTTAGTTTCATGTATGACTCATAGGCTGAAGCACAGACACCACTTCCCCAATCTACAGGAGCCATTTTAACAGCATAAAACTTGCCGGATTGCTTTTTATTTTCAAGCCCAAAGGACAAAAAGAGAACGAGAATATTTGAAGGTAACTTGTTAGGATTTTGTGTGTTTGCTTCTGGCTGTTTCCTGAGCTGATAAACGGAGGGTGGTTCTTACCTGTCGCAGAACATGGCTGAATGTGTTCTTTTAACTCTGAAAAAATGTGTGTAGTCAGTCACATGCCTGATTGCGCTTAGCTGCTAGGGGGGAAACAAAGCATTCAAATTCTGGAAAGTTTTAGATCTTCCTGGAAAAGCATTTTTTAATGTTTTGTATGATTTTTTTCTTTCTTTCTTTCCCTGTGTGACTTGAGAATAAAGGAGATTTTTCTTTCTTTTTCATACCACAAAACAAACTTCGGTCAAATTTTCGTTTTAAAAAAATCGAATTGTACTTGTGGGGATAGCCAGAAAGCTACAGTTAAGCAAACCGTACTATTCGTGTGTGATACGGGCATTAAGAAAAAAATTTCAGAGACACAGTTTTATTTTGGCTAAAGGGACGTTTGGGGATAACTCACTCATAGGTGTTACTCATTGACCTGTCCTTTTCTTTTTTCTTAAGTTAATGAAATTATACTAAACATTAATTTTTGAAAATGAGATGGAAGTTTAAGAAAAATGGGCAGTCATTTAGGTAACAAGTTAAAGTGGTTATTAAAGCACAAGAAAGACTAGAACAGTTCACCTACTATTAGAAAAATAATAATAAAGTTGTATAATTCACACTGGAAACTTACTGTGAGGAGCAACCTTAGATGCATGACTAGCTTCTGAAGGAACATGAAGTATTTCAATTTGTGTATAAAGAAAAAGTAAAAGAGTACTGGCCTTCCTCCTGTATCACTGTTCTTAAAATTTGCTTGTTTTAAAGGGGAAAAAAAAGTACTACCTTTTGTGTAAAAGAAAATATTGCGGAATCTCTTCCTGGAATATTTATCATTGTTGAAATGATGAAGTTCTGGCCAGCGTGAACTGGTGTGCCTTGAAATTCTAGGTCCTCTGAGAAGCTGGGTGCAGTAGTATTTTACTTCTGAAAGCTATTTATGAAATTAAAATTTGAATGCAAATAAAATTTGAACATGCAGTGATTATGAATAAAATTTTTGGAAACCAAAAAGTCATGTATTATTGACTATATAATATTTTGCTGTTTTTTAAGGGAATTTGCTGTTGCTAATTTTCTAAGTGTTTTTTAGGGAAGGATATAGAGGCAGTTATTCTGACTCTGGGAAAGGATTATTCTATGAACAGGTCTTCTATGGTTTTGCAGGAAAGGCATAGCAGACATTTTACTAGTTCAGCTCTGAGCCGCCTGCTCTCATCTTTGTCTCTGCATCTTGCTGGTTTAGTCAGCCTTTGAGTAAGTAGAGGCTGTGTTTACTTCTCCTCTGGCCTGTGTGAAAAATCTAATGAAACCTTTTTTCTTTTTTTCTCTTTAAGTTTTCAATAGCTGGTGACCCATAAGAGAAAAATCTAGGGGCATACAAATAAATAAGATTTTATTTATTAAAGAGAAGTAGGATAATTTAGTTTCTTAAAAAATAAGGGGATGATATAGTTTAAGTCAAATAGGTCATATATTAAGTCAAATAGGTCCTATATTTCAGGCTCTTACCTATGTGACAGAGACTGAAGTGGGACTTCAAAGGAGAAGGGAAGGGTGGAAAAAAAGCATGGAAGCAAGGGAAGGCCAGAGAAACTTACTCAGTAGTCTTCCCACTCCTTTTCGATTCATAAGGTGGAATATAAACTTAGATGGAGTCATCAGAATTAAACTGAGAATTACCCATTTAAAAAACTTGAGCACTGAAAAAGACTGGAGGTCGTCCAGCTGCCTCACTCGTGTGGACGTATGGACGAAGACACTATAGTGGCCTGAAGAGGTCTTGTGACTCCCTCAAGGTCGCTCAGTGCTTAGTGGCAGGGCTTCCAGCCGGGAGCTGCTCCTGCTAGTCCACACTAACAAGTGATACTTTGTTTGAAATGGGCTCTGTTTCCTTAAGAATAAATAAAACCTTAATTAAGTTGCTTGGTAGTAAGATGCAACCAAATGAATTAACCAGTGATTCTGAAAATGTGTTCAAACTAGTTTCCTTTATTCATCAGAGGAGATGTCGCATTTGTTTCATTTCCACCACTGCTTGTTTTCATTATTGGAACATTTTCATAGTTTATGACGTTGCTGGTTTAAGACGGGTCTAGGGGAGTTGGAAATATAAGGAGTTGGGAATTTGCTTTGACCTTGTAGACACAAAGACAGATTCATTTCTGCTTTTTATCTCCTGTCCTTCTAGGAAGACAAATACTGTTTAATATGATACCTTGTTCTGTTAGTTTGTGTGTGTTAAACTTTGCATATGAGTTTACAAAATCTAGAAGTTTCTAAACTCTATACTCCATCTTGAACTGAAACTTTCCAGAATTAGTAATCTTATTCCATTTGTTTGTTGTATCTTCTCTCTCCTCCTTTGAGAGTTTACTATACATACTAGGCACTTTTGAATCTTCTGAGCATGCAAAATCTTTAACTTTTTTATGTATTTTATTGGAGTGGCCAAAATTTACTTCAGATCTGCCTTTAAGTCTGAAACTTGGTTTTTTAAAAGTACAGTACTTTGCTTGTAACTGTTGAATCTCTTACATCTCCAAATCCCCTAACCCAGTTCAGTATCAGACCTCCCACAATGTGGTCATCATTATCCTAAGCAAATGACAGCACAGAAACAGCTAGAAAACACAGGATCTCTCCTCATAAACCTAGATTCTTACCGGGAAAACAGGGCAGGATATCATGGGGGTGAAATAAGAATGGAACCAAACCAATGAGAAGTTATATTCAGATTCAGACTATTTGCCTAGAGGTGAAACATGACCGAAACTTAAAATAGGGAAGACTATGGATCTTGAGAAATTATTAGTATTGAAGAAAGAATATCATTTGCTTAGGGTTAAGAGGAGTGTCTTCACCAATAAGAATGCAAGCTCTTTGAGATCAGAGAGGTTTTGTTGTATTTTTCTGTCTCGTTGAAACTTTGACTAAAATACTGAGCACGTATGAACAGACAGTTATGATTTGCTGCATCAAACCCTTGGCTACTCAGTTGGGCAAGTTCTGCTAAAGTTAGGGGTAGCAAGTCTTTCTTTTTTTTTTAAAGATTTTATTTATTTATTCATGAGAGACACAGAGTGGGGGGTGGGACAGGGACATAGGCAGAGGGAGAAGCAGGCTCCATGCAGGGAGCACAATGTGGGAGTTGATCCCAGGATCATACCCTGAGCCAAAGGCAGACGCTCAACCGCTAAGTCACCCAGGCATCCTGGGGTGGCAAGTCTTTAAAAGGCATGTGGCCCTTAGCTTCCTCTGTCTGGTATCTGCACATCATAACCATTCAAAGAAAAAATGAATACTTGCCTGGTAGTATATTTTAAAGCAGTAATTTTCAACCCTTGGTGTAATGGAGAATCACCTGGCTCCCACCCCAAGATTCTGATTCATTAGGCACAGGGTTTGGGTTATCAGTCACCATTTTTAATAATTACCCTAGGTGATTGTGGTGCAAGCGCTTGTAGGCCACACTTTAAGAAAAAGAGTATAGGTTTAAGAAGAACAATCAGTCAGTTACTTAGCAGTTTAATGTTTGGACTTTTAAGCAACCAGGGATATTTTAAAGCCTGCAGCCTCTGGTAAGTAAAGAAAGTGACTGGAGTAGTTTATTATCAATATTAGAACTTACTTTCTCTACCTACACCAGTTATTCTTTTCTTTAATATACTTTTTGCTGCTCTGTGTCTTTCAACTTTTTTCTGCTTCTCTAAGTCTGCTTTTTTCCCTCTCACTCCCAGACCCACCACTCTATTGCGACCACAGTAAATAATTAAGCTAATTATTTTTTTCCCAAGTGAAATTAGCCTCTTCCTTATCTCAGTGAGCCATCACTTTCCCAATGTTAGTTTTTTTAGTACTAGCTGGTACTTCATTCCTTCCTTTCTTCATTCCTTTATCCTTGGGGTTCTAGGCAAGACATCCCTTTCCTGATTTAAGGTAGCATTTATAGCCTTTGAAAATCCTCTCCTGGGAAACACACCATTATTACTTGCAATTGTTTTGAACCTGGAAAGGAGGCATTTGTTTTGTTTTGTTTTGTTTTAAAATTTTTTAAAGATTTTATTCATGAGAGAGAGAGAGAGAGAGAGAGAGAGAGAGACAACAGGCAGAGGGAGAAGCAGGCTCCATGCAGGGAGCCTGATGTGGGACTCAATCCTGGGACTCCAGAATCATGCCCTGGGCCGAAGGCAGATGTTAAACCACTGAGCCACCCAGGGATCCCCTGTTTTATTTTATTTTTTTTAAGATTTTATTTATTTGAGAGAGAGTGAGTGAAAGGGAGAGAAGGCACAGGGGGAGGGAGGGACAAAGGGAGAGGGAGAAGCAGACTGACTCCTCGCTGAGCGGGGAGCCCAATGGGAATGTAGGCTCCATTGGGGGACTCTGGAATCATGACCTGAGCCAAAGGCAGATGCTTAACCAACTGAGCCACCCAGGTGCCCCTGTTTTGTTTTGTTTTTAAATACCATGTGATGCTTGGATATGATTTTTGAGGTTTCTTTGGACTTTAACTCCACTGATTGCATATTTGTAGGCTTTACCTCGTATTACATCCCATCTAATGGAACATAAGTGTTCACAGACTTTTGCAGGGGTGAGAAGAACAGTCCCATCAGTTGAATGGTCTGAAAATAATTATTGCTTCCATCATTTAGTCGGAATATTTTGTTCCTCTGCTTAGGAGCTGCTTCATTTAGATGGTAGACATTGAATTAGTAATATCACTGAGTCAGCTGAAGTGATTAGGGCAGTTTTCGACTATTGGAGCAATCTTTTTCCCATTAGTATGAGAGCCTACTAAAAAAGTTTTTTGTGTCACCTCTATCTTGTGTCTTGTCAGATGGTGTATGTATACTAGAGTAAAAGTAGCTCTTGATCTGTGCTACAAGTGTTGAGGTATTTCACCGTTTATGAGAAAATAACCCATGTGCTATTTGT